CATTGCAGCGGAGGATCGCCCGTCGCAGCCTTTTTTTGGAGCTCTGCGAGAGCGATCGTGAATATTCAGTGCTCTGTCAGGGCAAACTTTCGAGTGTGCTGGCCTGTTGCTCGCGAGTCCAGCGCGCATCATCAGTTGCACTTGTCTCGATTTTGTTGTGCACTCATCCTGCTGGAAACTTCGTGCCACGCCATCGTCCTGTCCATCCGCGTCTGCCTTACTTCGACTGGGCTTCGCCCTTATCATGTCCAGTCTTGGGTGGGTGGGCGGGCATTCAGAACGTGCCGGATCAGCTTAACACGGTCGAGCCACATTATTGGATAATGGGAGTAGTGAGTGCTACTTAATGTGAATGGTGGCAGATCTCCCCTCCGCAGTTTTTCTGGCCCCCCCCCCCCGAAATGCACTGGTGAATTAGCTTGTGAATTCAGAGGAGTGTCTGTGCATTATCCCTCCCTGGGCTAACGATAAGCCTTTTTGGGGACCTCTGCGAGAGCGATCGTGAATATTCAGTGCTCTGTCAGGGCAAACGTTCGAGTGTGCTGGCCTGTGGCTCGCGAGTCCAGCACACATCATCACTTACACTTGTGTCGATTGGGTTGTGCACGCATCCTGCTGGAAATCTCGTGCCACGCCATCGTCCTGTCCATCCGCGTCTGCCTTGCTTAGACTGGGCTTCGCCCTTATCTTGTCCAGTCTTGGGTGGGTGGGCGGGCATTCAGAACGTGCCGGATCAGCTTAACACGGTCGAGCCACATTATGATGCTGATGATGATGATGGTGATGGTGACGATGGCGATGTTGCTGATGTTGATGCGGATGCTGATGCTGATGGTGATGATGCTGATGACGATGGTGATGATGATGATGATTTTGATGATGATGATGGTGATGATGATGATGATGGTGGTGGTGGTGATGGGGATGATGATGGTAATGATGATGATGCTGATGATGCTGCTGATGATGATGATGGTGGTGGTGGTGGTGGTGGTGATGATGATTCTGTTGTTGATGATGATGATGATGATGATGATGAGGAGGAGGAGGAGGGGGAGGAGGAAGAGGAGGAAGAGGAGGAATTGGAGGAGGAAGTGGTGGAGGAGGAGGATCAGGATGTGGAACGAGGTCTAGCGACGTGTAGCGGAGATGTGCGAGGATGTGCGAGGAAGAGGAATATCAATATGAGGAGTAGGAGGAGCAGGAGAAGGAACAGGAGGAGGAGGAGGAGGAGGAGGAGGAGGAGGAGCAGGAGAACGAGGAAGAGGAGGAGGGCGAGGAGGAGGAGGAGGAGGAGGAGGAGAAGCAGAGCAGAGCAAAGCAAAGCAGAGCAGAGCAGAGCAGAGCAGAGTAGGAGGAGGAAGAAGATGAGGAGGAGGAGGAGGAGAAGGAGGAGAATGATACTAATGTTAATCGCAACATTAAGTAGGATAGTAAATGGGAAAGGAGGAGCGTGTTGGAATTTCGGAGATTATGGGGTCTGGGGGCTCTTTGCGCTTCTAGCAGGGGTGAGAGAACGATGGGGGTGATGAGGAAGGCGGACGGAAAAGCAGGAAAACGAGGGAGGAGGATTGAGGAGGGAAAGGGCAGCAGCGAGGCTTGCGGTATTCGGTCAGTCGGGCCAGGTCGGCGCCCGCAGAGGTTGAGCGCGCAGTATTCGTTGTTGAGCGAGCTGCGTTTTGATTTCTGTTACAAGCTTGTCGTGTCAGCGAACATCACAGTATAGCTGCGAAGAGGCAGACGAGGATTGCGCGTGCATCAGCTGGTTCATTATGTGCAATGCCGCGCGGTCAGTTGTACGTTGCCATCCCGCCTCGGGACCTGCGGGACCAGCTCGGCAGCAGCGCGCGTCGCGCGGTGGGCCAACACATCAATTTATCAACATTGTTTTTGCCGACTCCTTTGACGGCAGGGGGTTTATTGGAAACCCTCCTGCCCTTTCAACAGGGCTCCTCAGAAGCCCTTGGACCTTGCCTTCTTATGATGAGGACAGCACAGCCTGCCCCGAGCCCAAGCCAGGACCTCCACTCGCGACCTGGTGATCCAGGGGTCCTGGCTGGGGGTGGGGGGTGTTTTTTGGGGGGGCTCTTGGGGGCCAGCCTCCCTCCACCCCCAGCGAGGACCCCCTGGATCACCAGGGTGGGAGTGGGGGGGTCCTGGCTGGGGGTGGGAGTGAGCGGCTCCCCTCGCGCCACCCTTCGGGTCGTCTCCCGAGATCCCCGGAGGGGCCCCGAAGGTCCCCTGCTGGAGGGCACCGCAGAGGCTCCCCACGAGAACGCCGACACAGGTATGACGACGAGCGACGAGCGACGAGCGACGAGCAACGAGCGAGGAGCGACGAGTGAGCGACGAGCCACGAGCCACGAGCGACGAGCGACGACGACGACGACGACGGCGGCGACGTGCTTCGACGTGCTTCGACGGCGCCGCGGGGCGAGTCAAGCTGGTCCCCCGCGGCGGGCAGCGCGCGTGGTCGCCGAGCAAAAGCCCTAGCGCGCACACCGCCCGGCAGGGTCGCACCGCCCCGCCAGTCCCGCGTCTGACACCAAAGCCTCAGGACGCGGCACTGGCAGTGCAGGTCAGCCCTCAGCGCTCGCTCCCCTTGCCCTTCCCGCCACCTCGGCGCTCGGCGTCGCCGCGGCGCCAGCTGGCGGCGTCGGCTGCCCGCCGCTGCCCCAGCCGCGCTCTGGCCACCATCCCCTTCGCCCACCTGCTTGCCCTCGACCGTGCCGAGCCGCTTGAACCTCGCCAGCTGCTCCTGCACCAGGTCAGGCTCTCTCCCCCTGATGCGCTCGTCGCTCCAGCCCATCACCAGCAGCGCCGTGCGCGAGTTCGCCAGGAACTCGCCGTACTCCTTCATGTTGAACCCTTGGACGGCCGTCTCGTCCAGCACGGCCCGGATCTGGGCGGCGTCGTGGCCCAGCTCCACGAGCGAGCGCTTGATATCGTCGCAGCCGCCGTCAAAGTCCTCTTCCTGTTCTTCGCTCTCGGTGTCCCTGTCGTCGACCTCGGCCGCAGCCAGCGCCAGGGCCTCCACAAGGAACGCGTGCTCGCCGAGGTACGTGCCGTCCTCGCTCTCCAGCCCGCCCTCCGTGCTCCCACCCTGCGAGCCGCTGTCCGCCGATGCCGCCCTCCGAGCAGCTGTCCGCCGATGCCGCCTTCCGAGCCGCTCCCCTCCTCCTCGCTCCTGGCTTCAGCCTCGGCCGTCGCCAGCGCCATGGCCTTCGCTAGGAGCGCGTGCTCGCTGTCCGAGGCCCTCTCGGCGAGCTTCCTCTTGGCTGCGTTCTCCTCCACCTGCGCGTCCGCCAACGGCCAGTAACCGGCGGCCGCCCCGGCGTTGGCCTCCTCCAGGCCCTCGTTCTCCTCCCGCCCATCCCTGTTGTGGTTGATGCCGACAAGCTGCCTAATTATGCCGTAGACGCCCTCGGCCGCAGGCCGAGAAAGTAGGTTGAAGGTGTAGAAGATGCCCGCCAGACGTCGCCTAAGGTCGCACCCGGCCGGAGTCAGAAGAAGTGGGGAAGCCCCCCACAACCCGAAAGAAACGCCAATTCAACCCAATTCGACCAAAAAGGAACGCCAACTCAACCCGCCCGCCCTCCAGTGCCCCGAGCGACATACCACCCGTCGTGCCGTGCTCGAGGCTGCTCCGCTCCGCCGCGGCCCGCCTGCGCCGCCTGCCCAGGGCCGCCAGGCCCCGCCTCCTCGGCCTCCTGCCTGCACTTGGACGGCGACGACGACGACGACGGCGACGACGTTGCCGACGACGACGACGACGACGACGACGACGACGACGACTACGACGAGGACGACCGACGACGACGACGACGACGACGACGACGACAACGACGTCGACGACGACGACGTCGACGACGACGACGACGACTACGACGAGGACGACGACGACGTGCGCGGCGAGGGGCCCCCGCGCCTCCTCGAGCAGGTCGTCGCCGCCCTCGCCCGCCAGCCTGCCGGTCTGGCCGTCGACGTGCCCCGCCTCGAGGGCCTCCACGGCCGCGGCTGCCGCGGCGGCCTCCGCCGCTGCGCCCTCTCGGCGACCCTTCCAGCCCGCCTCTCGGCCACCCGCGCGCTCGTCCAGCCGCGCAGCCCCCTCGGGCCCTCGAGCCGGAACGACGACGGCGACGACGCCGACGACGACGAGCGACGCGACGCGACGCGACGCGACGAGCGACGAGCGGCGATCGACGAGCGGCGAGCGGCGAGCGACGAGCGACGAGCGACGAGGACGAGGAGGACGAGGACGACGAGGACGAGGACGAGGACGACGAGGACGACGAGGACGAGGACGAGGACGAGGACGAGGACGAGGACGACGACGACGACGACGAGGACGAGGACGACGGACGACGACGACGACGACGACGACGACGACGACGACGACGACGACGACGACGACGACGACGACGACGACGACGACGACGACGACGACGACGACGACGACGACGACGGCGGCGGCGGCGGCGGCGGCGACGACGACGACGACGACGACGACGACGGCGGCGACGACGACGACGATGACGACGATGACGACGACGACGACGACGACGACGACGGCGGCGACGACGACGACGACGACGACGATGACGACGACGACGACGACGACGGCGGCGGCGGCGGCGGCGGCGGCGGCGACGACGACGACGACGACGACGACGGCGACGACGACGACGACGACGACGATGACGACGACGACGACGACGACGACGACGGCGGCGACGACGACGACGACGACGACGATGACGACGACGACGACGACGACGACGGCGGCGGCGGCGGCGGGGGCGGCGGCGACGACGACGGCGACGACGACGACGACGACGACGACTACGACGACGGTGACGGCGGCGACGATGACCGACGAGCGACGAACGACGACGAGGACGAGCGCTTCGCCGGTGCTCGGCCGCCGCCTCGCGCAGGCTGCGCCCTGCCACGGCGTGTGGCCACCTCGCCCCGTCCGGCGCGCGCGCGCGCGGCTGCAGGAGCTCCGCCAGCGCATCCAGGCAGGCGGGGTCGGCGATGCCGAGCTGAATGAGGACCCGCCTGCTTTTGCTCGGCGGCCTGCGAGGGGGGTAAGTGAGAAGGGGAGAAGGCCTTCTCAGAAGGCGGCGGGACTTTTGAGAAGCCCCCGCGCCTTCCGAGAGGTTTTCTGTGTCTTACCCGAGGGCCCAGAAAACTTCTCAGAAGGCCTGGGGGGACTTCCGAGCCTTCTGCGCAGGCCCGCCCCTTCTCACTTCCCCCCGGGCTCGCCGCCGATTTGCGCTCTCCGCGGCGGGGGGAGGTCTGCGACGCAGGCCCTGAGGAGAGAGCGATGCCGATACCGCGGCCCGTACCTCGTCGCCACGGGCGCACTTGCCCTTGAACCTTGGTCAGAGCGGATACCCCGCCAGGAAAGGTCCGGGGACTGAAGGTATCGGTGTCCATCTGCCCGCGCACCCCAATATCAATATATATATATATATATCCAACACCTGCCGAGGTCCCCGAGTATCGGTCGCTCCGCCTCGGATGTCCGTAGGGGGGCGTGGCGTGAGGTCGGATCGTGCGGGTGGTAGTTCGGCGAGTTCGGGTTCCCCCTCTTCGGCCCCTCTTGGGGCCGTCTTGGGAGCCTCTGGGGCCCTCTCTGGGCCCTCTGGGGCCGTCGTGGTGCGATCCTGGGGACCTCGCAGGCCGTCCTGCAAGCTCTCGAGGACCAAAAGCAGAGAAAGGCAGCATCGGGTGAGGACTTGAAGTTTTGCAGTGATGTTGCGAAGGCCTTACGGCGGTGCCGCCGACCTTGAAGACGACGAAGACGACGCTGACCACGACGAGGTAGAAGGACGAGGAGCAGGAGGTGGAGGAGGCGGAAGACGACGCCCAGGAGTTGGAGGAGGTGCAGAAAGAGAAGGAGGAGCAGGAGGAGCAGCAGGAGGGTGGCACCAAAAGCAGAGAATGCCAGCATCGGGTGCGGACTGGAAGTTTTGAAGGGAGACTCGCTGGCAAGTCCAGGCGAAGGGCGGCCCAGGAGAGCTCGAGAACGCCCAGGCGCCTGGGAGCCCCCAGGATTTCCAGGGACTTCAGTGCCTGAGCTCATGCGAGAGTTCACGAACACACGCACACCCCTAAGGCCCACCACACTCGAAGAGCCCACAACACGCCGGCACGGCGCGCGGCTCCATGGCCGCGACCTTACTGTTCCTGAAGCTCTACGGTGTCTCTAGTGTCGTGCGTGTTCGAACAGCTGCTCTACGAGGACGTCGCTTGTCCGACATCGGTGCGCGGCTCTCTTGTCGCTGCCTTCGAGTGTCTGTGACACATCAGTCCAATTCCACTTTGACGATCAGGAGAACTGCCACCTACCTCTTTCCATGCAGCGACACTCCACTTCGTGCCTCGCGGTACGGTGGCGGATAAGTGCATCTAGCCAGGAAAGGGGATGCTGGGGTCAAGAACCACAGCCCCGAGCTTATTTTGTGGCACAACCGTGCTCCCCAGTCGTCCGATGCCTTCACTTTTTCGGCACGGGTCCCTCCCGACCTCTCGGCAGCCTCCCAGGGACAGCTCCCTCGCCACGGATCTTCCTCTGGCAGTCCGAGCGCCCGACACCAGCCTCCAGACGACGAAAGCAATGAGCAGACAAACATCAGTACGATTTCGATCGATCCGACCCGAAATCGGGTCTGGCCAGCTCGATCCGACTTGGTTCCGCTGCTCCGACGATCCGATGCGGTCCGCTGCTTGCAGGGCGCTGCTGCGCATCTTGGCGCGGCCGACCCGATTGGATTTAGATTCCGTGCTCAGGGTGCGCTTCCTGGGAGGGCGAAAGCCGGCCTGAACCGGCACACAGTCGGGGCGCTGAAGAAGGAACCCTTCTCGTTGGGGAGGGGCTCCGTGTTCCTTCATTGTTTCACAGTTTGCCCTAGGTTTTCTTCGGACTTTCGATGGGGAAACAAAGTGTAACTTATGGAAAACAGGGGCCTCGTTCCTTATTTAGGGTTCCTTGTATAGGCCAACGCCCCGATTGTAGTCCCGCTCCATCTGGCCCGATCCCACCTGCTTCGGTTTGGTCCCCGGCCTGGTCCGAGTCGATGGCCGAAGGCTTCTCAGGGGTTGCTTCCCAGGCAGACCGATCCGACGCGCATTCCGCTTCGACTCGATCTTCTGGTCCGGTGCCGACCGATCCTGGGCCCCAGGGCCGCTCAGGGCCAGCCCGGGAGGGCTGCGCTGAGTGTGGAGGTGGGCGGGGAGGGCATGGGCAGGAGGAGGAAGCGGACGAGGACGAGGAGGACGAGGTTGAATTGGACGAGGACGAGGAGGACGAGGAGGAGGAAGCGGACAAGGACGAGGAGGAAGTGGGCGAGGACGAGGAGGACGAGGTTGAATTGGGTAGCGAAGGCGGGAAACGAATTTGGGATGAGGAGGGGAAGGGAGTGGAGGGGCAGGGGGTGGATAGGGGGCTGGCCTGATGAGGAGGGGGAGGATGGGGGGTAGTGCTTGGAGAGAAAGGTGGGCGACGAGGGCCGACGCACCACAGAGCGCCGTCGGCCCCCAGGGCTTCGCGCTGCTCCGGGAGGCCATGGCCCCTTCCTGCGGGAGGACGGGGAAAGCATGCGCGCAGCCGTTTTGATGGGGAGCAGAGGGGGAGGCGGAAAAGGGATGGAGGAGGAGGAGGAGGAGGAGGAGGAGGAGGATGAGGAGGAGGCGGAGGAGGAAGAGGAGGACCAGTGTAAATCCAAGAGTCATCAACGATGTTTGAATTCTTTACGCTTCGCGTATCCCTACCAGCCCATCTCACAACAGCAACTCTTGCGAAGCATGCCGACAGTTGTATTTTGCAGGCGTGTGTCCGCTTGCCCCCGCATATCTCCCCTGTTCCTCCTTCCTCCCGCCTCCTTGTGCATCCTCCTTGTGGGGGGAGCGGGAGAAGGACGAGGCGGAGGAGGAGGGAGAGAAAGCGCTCCTCATGGTTTGAGTCGTTTGGGGTTTCTCGTCCTGGTGTGAGTCGTTCGGGCCCTTCTTCCTGGTGTGAGTCGTTCGGGCTCTTCGTGGTGTGAGTCGTTCGGGCTCTTCGTCCTGGTGTGAGTCGTTCGGGCTTCTCGTGGTGTGAGTTGTTCGGGCCCCTCGTCCTGGTGTGAGTCGTTCGGGCCCCTCCTCCTGGTGTGACTCGTTCGGGCTCCTCGTGGTGTGAGTCGTTCGGGGCCCTCGTCGTGGTGTGAGTCGTTCGGGCTCCTCGTGGTGTGAGTCGTTCGGGCGCCTCGTCCTGGTGTGAGTCGTTCGGGCCCCTCCTTCTGGTGTGAGTCGTTCGGGCTCTTCGTGGTGTGAGTCGTTCGGGCCCCTCGTCCTGGTGTGAGTCGTTCGGGCTCCTCGTGGCGTGAGGCGTTCGGGCACCTCGTCCCCTTTTGGGGCGTCTTGGGGGCCGTCTTGGCGGCCCCAGGGGCTTCTAGGAGCGTCTTGGGTGCCTTGGGGGAGCCTCTTCGGGCCTCTTGGGAGCCTCTTGGAGGCCGTTTGGGGCGTCTTGGGGGCCTCTTGGCGGCCCCAGGGGCTTCCAGGAGCGTCTTGGGTGCCTCGGGGGAGCCTCTTGGGGCCTCTTGGGGGCCTCTTGGGGGCATCTTGGGGGCCTCTTGGAGGCCTCTTGGGGGCCTCCTGGGGGCCTCTTGGGGCCATCTTGGGGCCTCTTGGTGCCTCCTGGGCGCTTCTTGGGGCCATCTTGGAGGAGATCGATCAAAGAAGAGGGGAGCTTTAATGAGCGCTGCCCCCTCAGAAGGGCAAAATGAGCCCAAAACCTTCGTACAATCAATGATTTTGCCTTGAAGGAAGAGGGGAGCTTTCATGAGCGCTGCCCCCTCAGAAGGCCAAAATGGGGCCAAAACCGTAGTAAAATCAATGATTTTGGCTTCACAGAAGAGGAGAGGGTTTTTTCTCCCTCCCCCCGTCGGGGCCAGAATCCTCGTGAGGGGTGTCGTTTTTTAGCCCTCCCAGGAGTCGAAAATGACTCCCCTGACGACCCGCGGAGGGACCTCTCCAGGCCCAGGGGAGGGGGTAGGGGGAGGGGTAAACCCCTCCCCGAAGGGGACGAAAGGGGGTTGAGAACAGAGAGAGAGAGAGAGCTCTCTAAACCACTCACGCCCAAAAGGGCTGGTGGGAGTTTTAGCTCTCCCAGGGGTAGACAAAGGACCCTCTGACGATCCGCAGAAGGCCCCCTCCAGGTCCAGGTGGAGGGGGTAGGGGGAGGGGTAAACCCCTCGCCGAAGGGGAAGAAGGGGGGTTGAGAACAGAGCGGACTCCCTAAACCACTCACGCCCAAAGGGCTGGTGGGATTTCGTTTTTCGGGGTTTCAGTGCGCACTTGTCCTGTGGAGCTCCAGTGTCACAGAAGATGCCTCTGTAGCTTCCTCGTCGTCGAGACGCTTCGATGCCTCTGTAGGTTCCTCGTAGCCTCCGTTCCATGCCTCTGTAGCTTCCAGGCACTCCTGCGTCGCCGAGTTTCTTCTTGCAGCGTCCTTGTCTTGTCGCGGGGTGCGTTTGCGTCACTTCGGTGTTGCTGCGCCATGAGACGTGTCTCTGCAGCTTCTTCGTCTCATCGGGGACTCCAGCGTCACCGAATTTGTTCCTGTAGTGTCCTTGTCGTTCCAGGTCGTGCGTACGCGCGCAGAATGTTTCTCTGCAGCGTCCTCGTCGCATCAGGATCTCCAGCGTCACAGAATGTATCCTTGTAGCGCCTCTTCTTCCAGGGCGGCGTGGTCCTGATTCGCCGCGGACGACTCGCCGCGGACGGTCCATTCGATTCCACGGACGATCGTGCGCATGTAGTTTGCCACGCGCCTGCGCGCGCGCGGAGAGGGCCTGGGCGCCCTGTCGCTTGCGGGCGACCGCGCGGGTTAGCCCCCGCAGAAGCCAAAAAGGGCATGTCCACACGCCGGGTAAAACCTAAAAGGGCTTTCGTCTGCCTGATCCTTGCCTCCCGCTTTCCTGCTTCTTCTTTCATCGAAGTCAGAACCCCCGCCCCCTATGACGTCCCCCGCTGGCCTGGGTGGTCTACTCAGGTCGCGGGGGGGGATAGGGGGGGGGTCGTTGCCACGGCTGGTGCCTCGTTTTTACGACGGGGAGGGGGGGGTGCACCGTTCCCTCGGATGTGCCCCCCCCCCCCTCCAAGGGCCTCCGAGCCCTCCCTCTCCGTCCTTGTCTTCTCCCTTATCCTCCCCCCCCTCGCGGTTTTCGAAGCCTTTGGCGTCTCCGCCCACCACCCTTGGGAGTATCCTAATGGCCTCCGGCCCACCCCGCCACCGTGCCGCGCCGGTGGACAAGAGGCGTATGGGGTAGACGAGATGGTTAAAACGGGAGCCAGTGGCTTCAATCGGGCGTTTTGGAGCGCACGCGCGTAGTTGGGTTTTGCAGGGTTTCCTTGCAAAGGGGGAAATGCTGTCGAATTTGAGACGTATGGTTCTCTCTGTTTGTATATGTCTGGGTCCCGAACGACTCACACCAGGACGAGGGGCCCGAACGACTCACGCCACGAGGAGCCCGAACGACTCACACACAAGGAGGGGCCCGAACGACTCACACCACGAGGAGCCCGAACGACTCACACACTAGGAGGAGCCCGAACGACTCACACCAGGACGAGGGGCCCGAACGACTCACACCACGAGGAGCCCGAACGCCTTCGAGGACGAACGACTCACACCACGAGGAGCGAACCGAGGACGAACGACTCACACCAGGACGAGGGGCCCGAACGACTCACACCACGAGGAGCCCGAACGACTCACACCACAAGGAGGGGCCCGAACGACTCACACCAGGACGAGGCGCCCGAACGACTCACACCACGAGGAGCCCGAACGACTCACACCACGACGCGGGCCCGAACGACTCACACCACGAGGAGCCCGAACGAGTCACACCAGGAGGAGGGGCCCGAACGACTCACACCAGGACGAGGGGCCCGAACAACTCACACCACGAGAAGCCCGAACGACTCACACCACGAAGAGCCCGAACGACTCACACCACGGAGCCCGAACGACTCACACCAGGGCCCGAACGAGGAGAGCCCGAACGACTCGAACGACTCGGCCGACGAACGACTCACACCACGAAGGACGACTCACACACAAGGAGGGGCCCGAACGACTCACACCAGGACGAGGGGCCCGAACGACTCACACCACGAGGGGCCCGAACGATTACACACAAGGAGGGGCCCGAACGACTCACACCAGGACGAGGGGCCCGAACGACTCGCACTTCGAGGAGCCCGAAAGACTCACACACAAGGAGGGGCCCGAACGATTCACACCAGGACGAGGGGCCCGAACGACTCACACCACGAGGAGCCCGACCGACTCACACACAAGGAGGAGCCCGAACGACTCACACGAGGACGAGGGGCCCGAACGACTCACGCCACGAGGAGCCCGAACGACTCACACACAAGGAGGGGCCCGAACGACTCACACCAGGACGAGGGGCCCGAACGACTCACACCACGAGGAGCCCGAACGACTCACACTCAAGGAGGGGCCCGAACGACTCACACCAGGACGAGGGGCCCGAACGACTCACACCACGAGGAGCCCGAACGACTCACACACAAGGAGGGGCCCGAACGACTCACACCAGGACGAGGGGCCCGAACGACACCACGAGGAGCCCGAACGACTCACACACAAGGAGGGGCCCGAACGACTCACACCAGGACGAGGGGCCCGAACGACTCACACCACGAGGAGCCCGAACGACTCACACACAAGGAGGGGCCCGAACGACTCACACCAGGACGAGGGGCCCGAACGACTCACACCACGAGGAGCCCGAACGACTCACACACAAGGAGGGGCCCGAACGACTCACACCAGGACGAGGGGCCCGAACGACTCACACCACGAGGAGCCCGAACGACTCACACACAAGGAGGGGCCCGAACGACTCACACCAGGACGAGGGCCCGAACGACTCACCCCACGAGGAGCCCGAACGACTCACACACAAGGTGGGGTCTTCTGGGGTTTTCTGTGGTTCTCATGGGTTTTCTGTGAGTCGTTCGGGGGGTTTTCTGTGAGTCGTTCGGGCCGCTCGTTTTCTGGTTTTTTTTTGTGAGTCGTTCGAGCCGTTCGTTCGTTTGCGCATGCTTCTGGGGGTTTTCTGTGTCGTTCGGGCCGCTCGTCCTGGTGTAAGTCTTTCGGGCCCTTCCTTGTGTGTGAGTCGTTCGGGCTCCTCGTGGTGTGAAAAGTTCGGGCCCCTCGTCCTGGTGTGAGTCGTTCGGGCCCCTCCTTGTGTGTGAGTCGTTCGGACTCCTCGTGGTGTGAGGCGTTCGGGCTCCTCGTCGTGTGAGTCGTTCGGGCCCCTCGTCCTGGTGTGAGTCGTTCGGGCCCCTCCTTGTGTGTGAGTCGTTCGGGCCCCTCGTGGTGTGAGTCGTTCGGGCCCCTCGTCGTGGTGTGAGTCGTTCGGGCCCCTCCTTGAGTGTGAGTCGTTCGGGCTCCTCGTGGCGTGAGTCGTTCGGGCCCCTCGTCCTGTGTGAGTCGTTCGGGCCCTTTGTGTGTGAGTCGTTCGGGCTCCTCGTGGTGTGAGTCGT